CCAAACAGCACTCCCTGGCTAGTTGGCTCGATACACTACAGCACCGCTACACTGAATCAATTGGGTCTTGACGCAAATGTAGGCGTGAAACCTTTGCGTCGCCTCTTCTGCCGTCTCTCATCAACCCTGTTGGTTGACCTACTGTCTAGAGCAGCTCATGGCTATGAATCACAAAAAGTTGATGTTCATGGAAACGGGTGAATGAATTCAAATAGTCTGACAAATATGTCAGGAGTAAGCGAGCGAGCGAGTGAGTGTGATTTAGCGATGTCTTCTATTACCTTCTTCACGAACAATACCGCTCAGTTACGTTGTGCTTTCAACAGCAGATGCGTGGCAGTACGACACCTCTACGGAAGAGAACCTCAATGTGATCCTCGCCACCACTCCCACGCCGTTACAATCGCGCTGTAACATTAGTCATTCCGCAAATGCATTGTATGCGCCAGGCCACATGCTATTCTGCAAAAATGTCGGGAAACTGACTTAAAGGCAGTCAGCACGATAAATCCCCCAAGACGAGTAGGATTAATACGCCTGGCAGGACGGAATTCCGCGACCCTGAGCAGGCGCTGCATAATGCCTTTTCCAAGGAAGGTGCCCTTATAAGGGCCCTATCAAGCCACAACATTACAATCCCAAACGCCCGCCACGCCCGCCCGCCCACAAATGGACCGTTCCTGACGCTCTAATCGATTCATTTGCTAATAAAATTATGAAGCGAAGTACACATATGCAGCCGTACCTTCGGTAGTGGTTATTGGCAAGTTGCCTGCAGGAAACTCGTCCAACATTAATTTCTATACATTGAGAACGGAGGCTCTTTCTTCGCAAAATTTTGACCGTTTCACTCCGTTCTTTCGCCATTTACCCTCTATATGGCTCCCTACTAGCATTTTAGGCGGAAGCACCGAATCATCGTGCCAACTGTCTTTAAAACCCATACTGCAACAACCGTTACCTTCTCAGAAATGGTGGAAAGATAGATTCGAAAATTCCAATATGGTGGGCGACTTTCTGCTTTCCAATGAATACCACAATTTTCTGCATGCTTCCTGATCCACCTTTCTTTTCCATGAGGTTTACTGGGAAAAACTCAAGCAAGTCGGAAATTCGTCCTTTGTTCTATTTCAAGCGAAGCCATTCGAAGATTCAACCATGAGTACGTTTCAGAGAGCATTTTTTTTCGTGAAGTAGGAAGTGATTTGTTCGACGTCGCTTGCTTTTGTGTGAGCCACACATTCGCCCCTACCCTTTTGAAGTTGTACAGTCCTCATCATTGCGGACCGGTGGGGCGTGTCAGTGCGGCTGCGTTTGGCGCGGTGCCAAAGTCGTTCTGCACCAGTTGTTGAAGCGGGCAAGTGACATTACTGTATTATATCCTTCGTATTACTCGTTTTCTACCACTTTTTGTCGCATACGCGTTTCAAAAAAGGCTGAGAACGGCTTCAACAGTGTGCACACTCATACTGGCTGACACGCCCCACCGGTCCGCAATGATGAGGACTGTAGTTACTACATTATGCTTGGCTGGGTGATCCGAGTTCCCAAGATCCAGAAAGGTCTGTAGTTCCGATGATCATAATTTTAATACTGGATATTGATTACAATACACTGAATTATTTCTTCACCTGCGTTTTTCAATTAACGGATTTATTTACTTATTTATTTATTTATTCAGGGTGCGCTACAATGTGCTCGAAACTGGATGGGTTGGACAACGAAACCACTCAAGCGAATTAAAATAAAGACTACCGACAGACGACGACAGACGACAGAACCAAGTTCTCCTCGGGATGGTGGTGACGAAAATTTTGCTCTCTACAGCCGAAGTCACCGCGTATGGATCGCGTTTGCAACAGCGACGCACAAGACATTCAGGATAGCCCTCGGGTCCGCGAAAATGCGCGGAGTTTCGCCTTCTATGGTATGGTCATGTTCTGTGCGCGATTCTGACACCGTCCGTAAGAAAGGTGCTGAACTCGAGGTGCCTAGAAAGGGGCCCAAGAGATGGCCAAAAAGTGCTGGCTAGACATGTTGCAAGTGGACTTGAAGACGCTGGCACCCATTCCGATCAGGCACTTAAGGGGAATGGCGTGACAGGGAAAAGGAGAGTAGGCCAGCCACAGAGCGGGACAAACGCTTAAAGGCAGTTGGTAAATCCCTAAGAAGAGTGGGACTGATACTGCCTGGCAGGACGGAATTCCGAGATCTAGATCAGGTGCTGCTTTTCTGAGAGAGGCACCCTAAGAAGGGCCATATCGAGCTACAACATTACGACCCGAGCGCCCACCACGCCCGCCCGCCCACAAATGGACGACCTTACCTGGTGCTGGTATTAGTTTATTACTAAGTAAAATGTGAAGCGAAAGGATTGGTATGAATTGGCTGGCGTGCTGCATGGATAAATGAGTACATATATGCGGCCGTATCCACCGTAACGGTTATAGGCAAGATGTACGGAAAACTCGTCTGAAATCGCTCCCCTAGTTTTTGACCGTCCACTTCGTTTTCAAGCCACTTTCCCACTATATGGCACCCTGCCAGCATTTTAGGCCAAGTACCAAAATATCGTGCCAACTGCCTTCAGAAAGAAGAAGAAGAAGAAGAAGAAGCTACCGGGAGGAAGGATGTCTGAGTGGATACCACCACAGTTGCTTCCGACAGAGAGTGTCAAATTTACTTAGGTGAAATTTACTTGTGAAGAGCAGCAATGATGCAATGAACCATTGATCTTTCCATAATGTTAACCTCTTACAATTTCCTTTCAGGGGGTGTGAGACACTCCGAAGATTTTGAGCCTTGTACTTCGTGTGCGCTGGAGGACCAATAAGCAAGTGCGTTATGCTCAGTGAAGCCGCTCAATTTGAGACTTCTCCTGCTCCAGCACAATTCAGAGGGTGGTGTTGATTACGAACGAAATTTTTATGAATGTTAATGGCTTTACGCAACTTCTGCCCCCCCCCCCCCCACCCTCCGTCAGCTCTTTTGAGCTCTCAGGGTCCCTCAGCCATTGAACCACCTTCTCATGTGGGTGATATCAACAGCGGCTTCAGTTTTTCGCATACGGTGTAGACTTGTCTCACGCCGACGCCGCCATGCTCGAGGAGTTGTCACAATCACCGCTAGCCACATCACATCCTGCACACATCATTCGCTTCAAGCCGTGTCAATCCCCCCTTAACCGTCTCGGTCACTCCTTTATCTCGTGATATCTTATCACTTCATCAGCTTGTCGTCATAGCAACGCCATATGTGCGGAGTGTCGAGACGGCATTGGCTTGTCGCCAAACTCGGTTCGATACCCTGGAAGCATGCCAATTCCGGAAGTGCTTAGCTCCGCGATCTCTCACTGCGCATGTGTTGAGCGTGTCTATGCATCTCACTGTTAATCTCACCCTCAGCTTCTGGCGTCTTACCGTATTCACGTTAAATTTTTCTGAATGGTCTACTATCCAAGCATTCTAAGCGCGCAATCTTCACCTAATGATTAATCAGCCTGTTTTGGATTTTTGGCAGAGTCACACTGAAGTAGAAGCCACCGCTGGATCTTTGAGTAACACCTGCCGCCTTTTACATCACTGTAATTTACTTCTATCGCTTAGAGTTAGGCCGGTATTACTCTTCGGTTAAGCGCTCCCCCTCAATATTACCGAATAGCGAAATATCCGTTCTAAAGGGAACCAGTCTACTTCGCTCCAGTTAAGCGCTCTAAAGATTACACTACACTACTTTGATTAATTATCGCTTGACGCGGTAGCATTTAAGATGATGGCCAAAGCCGGAAAGGGAAGTCTGTAATGACAAGTAATGTAGTTCGTCATAATACTGCGTGATCGATACTGTCTTTTTTGCTTATGGGAGCAATAGTTCTGTTTTAAATATCAAGTATCAGCATTTCCGAAATTAATCTAAAGCTACTTCGAGTGGAGAGTGGGTGACTTAGTGGCTTAAGCGGAAAATTCATTTTCATCAGGGATCGATTGGCTTTGTGAAACCAGAATAGCCTCAAGAAGTCCATGAAATTTCTCCAACCACGGATTGAGTGCTCGAGTTTTCAGAACTCATTCCACCGTGAAAAATGACTAGCGTATCTTGTATTTTAGTGAGATGGCTTCTTTTTCTTCGTACCTTCCATAGCACTGCATCCCTGGGATCCATTTAAATCACCTCAGTCGCATATAGGCCAAGCATGGCTTCTCCTCCAGAGCCGGACACGCAAATTTCTTCAGCAACTCCCGGCGTTAAGCAGCCTTTTGGAAACGTATTCATACTGAGAACAATTGGAAAAGAACCTTTTAATGCCATACAGGCTATCTGTGCATTCTCGAGACCTTGTCTCAAAATCCTGACTCATCTGAAAGGTGCTGTTGAATTCGCAGTTTTCGTTATAAGCAAAGAAGTTTTCGCACGTGATTAAGTGAAATGGTAAAATGACACATTCTCAGACACAACTATTGGATAATTAATTCAATAAAGTCAGCGATCATCATGGCAGTTGAATGCAGTTGCTGCTTTCCCGATAAGAGGGCACAGAAGATCTCCGGTACATAAATGGATCATTACCCACCAGGTCCTAATACACCAGCGTGGTGATGGAGAGGTGATTTGCGCCGGCGCCTAAATAGACTCCATTATAATCCAGGTGCCTGCCTCGCCCATGGCTGACTGCTCGTGCCCTCCCGGTGGCTGAGAGGCAGAAAAGAGCCGTAATTATCTTGACCGCAACTACTTTGCAACAAGATTACCTTAGGGGGATAATTGGGAAAAACAAAACAGCATCTGTTCAAAGATTTCAGAGAGGGTTTATAGAAAACATGGGCAAGAGCTCTGGTGGATTACGGTGTGCTTAACTATCGATTTTCGCTCAAACTAACAAGCATTGCGTGCTGTTATCTGCCCTTAGCGAGCTTGGATAATCGATCTCAACTCCTCCACCATTCCTGAAACATTTGCGGAATATTACCGCGAATTTAATTCTAGAGAGGTCCAGCAGTTTGATGCGTAAGCCTTCCAAAGGCGAGGATTTCGAAATGGAACCCGAGGATATACTTCTTGAAGATGAGCGTATTCAACGGCCAATTCCGAAGGTACTCTTGTTCTCTTAGGTTCAAACCCTCATTGGTTTTCACGAAGCAATATTTTCAGAAGCTTCGCCAGTCCAAAGGAGGCGAGGAAGCGCCAGCCTCCGGTGAGTCACGAACTTTCAAATGAGCAGTTAAGGCAAACGAACGAGACGAACAAGGAGACGCTGACTATAATATCAAAGCTTTCCTGCTCAGGATAAAGAAAAAATTTGTAAGACCAACACAGTGAGGAGAACGATCCATTACCCGGTATACCGTTCTATAAATCCATGAGCTCCTCCCAGTGTCTGGTTGGAATCTAAGGGTGTCCAAGCCCGACCGAGCAACTGTGCCAACTATAGTACGATGTCTTATGGGCTCTATTGAACATTAGCTAGCCGTTCAACCGCTGCGACTAAATGTCCACACGACGTGGCGCGTCGGGTTTTTCATCTTTCGCCACCGTATACCAAACGATTTGAAATATTCGGAAGCACATATTAGAGAAATGCTGGCCGTTTTCGAGAAGATGCATTGATCCGCCCTCGAAAGCGTCTTTCTATTTCGTGGAATCGTCTCGCAATCGCTGCGAGCGTTCCGCTTCTGACCATGGACCTATACAACGTGCTGCTCCATAACTCGCAGACAGGTAGTTCCCTTATCGACCATTCCCAGCTTAATTCTGCTCATTCTCTTTTATGCACCCACTAAGCGCCGCCCGTCGTTAGACTGACCTCAACGAACGTGATGGTGGCGGGTGAGGAGAGGTGATTAGCACGCTCCACCTCCCTATCCGTTTCCCACCAGTCACCAAAAGCTCAACACCTCTCCCAGCTTTCATCTGTCCTCATTTCCCCACATTGCTGACGACTGGCTGGTGTCATGCGACTTCTCTCCACCGGCAGATTAGGTGAGGAAGGATAAACCAGCGATGGTGAGCCTCCTCGACGTGGCTTCTGTTGGATTGCCTGCGTTTATGAGGTGCTCGCCTCAGTTTTGATGTCTTCTGGCCAGGTCAAGCCCCTTCTCTAGTGCTGCACCAGTTCCCTTAACCTACCAGAGCTTTTCATTGTCCTTAGTTGTACCTAACCCGCATGATGCTCTCGTGAGCGTGTGGTGCGTCTGTCATCAGCAATGCAACCTCTACTCGCGATAGTTGTTCTATTGACCATGGAACAATGGAACGGAATACATAAAACATGCAAAACGCCCTGTGTCGGCAACAATGTCGCTCTGAAAGTCCAACTACTTCTAGGAGTGCGCGCTGGGTGGTCGGTATTCCATTCTGCTCTGAATGTTCCCGATCTTCGGCTACAGCACTTTCGTCACTAACGCTCTTCCCTCACGTCATCAATTCTGTAAGCGAGTTCAAAGGGTTGAGTTGAAGCCGAGGAAGCCACAGGCGTCACTTAGCATTAGGACCTGAACCCTCCATTTTACTTCTCAGTCAAATTCTTTTCTCATTGGTTAACTGGATTTTTTATTCCTAAAGAATTCTTTATGTTAACTCACTCGTCGCCTACGGCTTTGGAAAGCAACATTTGAAGTTGGTCACGCCCATACATCATTTACTTTCTTCTTATTAGTTGGGGCTAACTAGGCTTATTTTGGTGCACTGGTAAGTGTGAAGCTAACAAAGATTCCATTACAAGCTACCTCTCCAACGAAATCCTTGGTATATCAAAGCAATTTAAAATACGTATAGAATTAATGTTTGGAAAGAAATTATAGCATTCAAATGTTCGACAAGAAATGAGTACTTTTCTCAGGCTCGGATCCGACGGAACTTCTCGAATCGTCGGGATACGCAGCACCGGCGCCTCATTACGTCACGGAGTTTGGGATGGACTATCCACTCTCGTCACACATAAACAATAACACGTAAGCAATTTCTACCAAATATTGACTGCTTATCCTCCAGGAACCTGCCGCAATCACTGCCTTACTAGGTAGCATTACACTAACGCAATACCCTGTGCAGAAAATCTTCATGGCAACCCGGCAAGCTCTAAACATCAGGCACGCCCTCAGTTCCTCTCCTGGCTGTCGATCCAATAATCACCAATAATTGTGGCCTTAGGGAGAGAATGGTTCCTTGATAAATTCTCGGGTAACAGTTCTCAGCCAATCCTTCCGTGACCTCAGCAGAAACTTAAATTAATGCAAAGAAAGGGAAACAGCCTCCTCAGTTTTTGTCATGCATTGCCTATACCAGTTGCGAGCACCTACCCTTTAGGACAATCATTCCGTGAGCAGTTTGCCAATGGTACCCGCGTTACCGTATTCTTTGGGTGAATCTTCGGCAATGGCAGTCATTTGTCACCTGTTCTCTCATCTCAATGGCCGACACTGAGCTTTGAGACTGGATAGCTCATTCCCGCACAAGCAGGTTGTGATGGTAACGTCTCATCTCAGCAGGATTTTGAAATTGAAATCCGAAAAAGCGACTTCAGATAAAAGAGTAATCCCGTTATGTCTCATTGGGTACTACGTAGTATTGTCGCAACACTTTATAGTGCCAGGACGAGTATCGCTCCCCTGAGTGAGTGGGGACTACAGTATCGGTAGAGAATGTCTTCTTGGAATGAACATGAGGTTCAAGGAAGTGCATCGTACAGATAGAAGACAGAGGTGAAGTGACTGAGGGTTGCCTGGGTATTGTTGCCAAGGACAGGAGAGAGCTGCGTTGCTACAGCACTGCCGAGTTTGGCATGACAACGGAAAGCCTGAACGGGCTCTTGCTAGCTGCTAACAAGTGCAAACCAAATAAGTCCAAGGACAACTGGGAAGTCTTTAGAATGACAGGTTTTCCCATCAGAAGGAATTTCCTCCGTTGGTTCTCGCATACTTCCCAGACAGGGAGTTGTCGAGGGTGACAGCGGGAGAAGTGATCCCTTTCCCGGTAATACTGAGGGCACGATGAAATCTCGTAGGACTGCAAAGAAAGCAAAAAAATGGCCGGACATGTCGAACGTGTGGCTAACTGGTGTAGCTACGTGGCAGAGTGGGATATTTGGAACAGGAAGAGGTGTGTTTCTATGGGACCGATTACTTGGCGACGACGGTCGTCTGGCCAACGGGGGCCTATGCGTGTCTCCAAGGCGATCTCTTTCGTGAGTTTCCCCCTCTCTCCCAACTCACAGAGTCCTGATCCTTCTACTGCCATCTCCAGTCCGCTCCCTGGGCAACGCCAGGGCTGATCACCCCTTTCGTTTTCTAACGATGTTGCCAAAGTAGCGCCCTATTTTTGATAAGACCAATGGTTTCACCCAGAGTCACATAGCTGGGTACATAGAATCCAATCCAGCAATCCGAGTGAAGGGTTGCCACAGATCAACTCCTATTGAGGATGCCCTTGTAATCGAGTCCATTTAAAGTGGACTTGTCTCTCAAACGCAATTTGGGAGCCGATTGCACAAGACAGAGCGTTTTGCTCCCTATACCGTACCAATCAAGGGACCTTGGATGGAATGGAGTGTTGAGTGGCTTGATCGGTTTCGATCCTGCATTTCACCCCCGAGTCAGTCGCGTAGTCGGCACCACAGACCCCTAAACTGACCCTGTCTGCAAGACGAAGTAGCGGTTAGGTTCAATGACAAATTCAGATTACATGAGTGCTTTGTACTTATGCGAAACTGAGTTTTGTAGAGACGGACTCACAGGAAGTTTGGCAAGGTTATTGAGATCATTGCTGGCCTGAGAGTGCGAGGCTATTTGACCGTCATACTTACGCAGTCGTGCACTCCCATCCTTGACAGACATCTGTGCTCTGCAATTTTCTTTCCTTTTCCGTGAATTCCTGACACATGTCAGTTTTACTTCGAGAGATTTCCTGGAAGGAGCTCGGGAGAGATTTCGGTGACCCCGTCTGTTAATCCACTTCCATTACGTGTGTCTACCTCGTAGGTAAATCTTCTACGAGTGGCTAATTGCCGTAGTTCTGGGGGTGGCCAGGTGGTATCGGCTAGCGACCTAAAGCCCTTTGCCCGGTCCCCAATCTTGCTCGCCAAATCACACGCCCACACACAGACACTCGGTAAATTCTTTGATGCCAAGCTGTGCAGAACGACCATGGTCCTTTTCAGCACTACCACCTATGTCTACGCTGACAACACTCAGTACAACAACTATTATCAGGTATTTTTGAAATTTCATAGTTCCCTCTCAGTTGGTTGCCGAACTTTTTCGAAATTCACTCTTTCCAGTACTCCGGAAATGTGCACTCGCCAACACAGTCCTATATGCTGCACGGCCACGGTTCGCAATCACCGGTCTCCGTAGAAGACGACAGCTCAAGTGGGCTTGGTGCGGCAACCAGAGCTTCACCAGCAACCGTAAGTGATTTACTTTTTTCAGATGAGCAGATGGATAGTTGCAGAGGGTGCTAGAACTCTACGGAGGTTAACGTGGATGGCGCAGCAATAATTAGTCGGCAGTTCTGTAAACGCCAAATTGCGGATCACAAGCGGCAGATTAAGCGCCTCACCTGGTCAATTGTGACCGCGGTGGGCATTTACAGTTGCGCTATAACGCTGGACTACGATGCACATGGCCCATTGACGCTAGCAATATATGAACTACATGCAACCGATGTCTTCCATGAGCTCATTGTCAAATGTCATAGTCTCGTTGTTAGGAGGTCCGGAAGTTCATTACCACAATAGATTTTTTTACTCTCCCACAATAAAAACAATCAGTTTATACAAAAGAACAAAGCATGAACTCTTTGCCGCTTGATCAATCCCTTTGGGGATGCGGCACGCATTCTACTTCCATTCAGAATCGTAGTGGGTTATTGAATGCGATGTGGCCTATACAATGACTTGCGGGGCCGCCGATGTACAAGTCAGTGTTCTTATCCTCCCAGGCGGAATCTGTTACCAATTTACCGTTCTCGGAGGTGGATGGCTTGGTTGCCCTGCGCGGAAGCCGATCCAGGACTCGATCCTGGACCGTGCGCGTGGTAAGCGTGCCACTTGTCACTGCAGCACCTCCGCGTCAATCTCTATATATGGCAGCAAAATGTGACCAATTTCAAATTATAGCGCTCTTGGGGGTGACTGAGTAACACTCAGACTTTCAAGAAAAGGAACCTGTTTTTCATTATTACGCTCAGCGCAGTTCGGCGACGGGGGGGGAGGCATTTTGCCCTTTCGCTGCTCCACTACTTCCGGTTTACAAGTCTCCCCTAACGAAACCTGTGAACTCGTGTGAAGCTTGAGCAAGCTCGCAGCCTCCATGTTAGAACCTGTCAACTCTTGTAAGCTCACGAAATGGCTATATACATATACGGGTCAATCTGTAGATGGGAAGTAGCAGAAGTGCCAAGTGCCCCCCCCCCGTTCCGAACTGCTCCTTACGCTCTTCTCGTAACGTTTGTGGGCGATACAAAATGACAGGGAATGGATGAGTCCAGAATTTTACTTACATCTTTAGGCAAGCGGAACAGCTTATAGAAACTCCGAGCCTTCCCTAAATTGGACAGCGTGGGCGAGCATCCTTCAATTGGGCTCCTCCATGTACCTTTCCTAGCGATATCGTATGCAGAGCCCTGCGTGTCAATGTAGCATTTCATAATGAAGATGCAACAGGTGCCATATGTGCACGGTAATTACTGCCTCGGTTCCCATCCAAAAAACCGCCATATATGGCTACGCACCTGTTTCATGTTTATGACATCCGGCGGCAGCAGCCCCTTAGCCACCTCGAATTCGAGGCACCAAGCGCAGCACAAGTGAGACAATGCTTCCCTTGGGCGACATCCCAGGGCTGCCTGATGACCGTAATCTCGAGCAGGCTGTCATTGGCCGGCAGCCCTATCGATTATGCACGCCAAGTGCCGAGCCGATGAGGCATACGGCTGCGAATAACACCATAGTTTCTGGGATTTAATACGAACGAGGGAACGATGATTTCAAAAGCTTGTACAAACTGCCTAGGGGTTGGTCTACACAATGAAAAAAATAAAAGAAACTTTTTTCTAAACTATTATTTGATAATGAGACTTCTCCATTCTGAGGTACCCTTTGATCTAATTAAGGTGCTCCATATGTAAAAGTTTGCGAGTTCCCATCCCCAGAATCAAATTTGAAAAACGCCTCTGACGGGAAATGTTCCTCTTGACGGAATGTCTTCATTGTTCGGCAGTAGTTGTTGTCCGGCTCGACGGAGTGATTTTGGGCCTTCCGGTGGTGGGCCACTGTCGCCGTGGCAACTGGCCCAAATCGGTTACTTCCACTAGTCCATACCGCCAACGACAACTTTTTCGCATGCTGTCGCTGGCTGCCGAACACCGTTTGCCTTTCAATCTTCTCACTGACACTCCTTATCTTGGATTTGTTTCAATGTTCTCTCACATTCCCCTCTTTCTCACATCCCTTATAAAAATTGAATTCTAATGCTGTCAGAAGTGATTCATTTTAAATCACAACAGACGAGCGCATTCTTCATCATAAACCAATGAAGCCGGAGCCACTATGACACCTGATGAGTTCATACGCATTGAACTGACACCTGAGACGCGACTACATGTGGGTTTTTCTGAATTATACCACTGACCATTCAAGGGTGTAGTGCGTTTCCTCACCAACTCACGCAAACAATTAATGAGAGTAATGAGAAGTGAGAAGTATCGGTACAAGCAAGCAGGAGGAAACTGAATCATTTTGGTTAAGTCACACAAGAAATGAAGAAATTATGTCTGTTGGTTCCATGGTTTAGAACATGGAACTCAGTAAATATTCTTGAATATCGAGAGTATGGAGCACATGTGATTTTCCGGAACTTTCTCTAAAACCAGATAGACTGTAGGCACAGCTACTAAAACATTTCACTTCACAAACGGCACGGAATGGAGACTTCCAAGCGTCAGTGTTAGGTGACCCT